CGGTGCTGACAGGGCCAACTGGGGATAGTAGATTGTTTAGAAGCCAAAATGACTGACTGTTTTCAGTTGTTGAAAGGAACTGTTTTTCCTCTAAGGACATGATTCATTAAAACTGTATGCTGCATTTACATACATTTCTGCTGAATACCTCTCTTTGCCTGAAAGGCTAAGAACATGCTGTCTTTTCAAGTAGTCAGTGTCTAGGTCCATACAGATGACAAGCATTTACAGAAATCAGGCTTGGACAAAGTCCAGCAGCACAGCAGGAAATAGTTTTCTGTATCTTATCTCCTCTGAGTCAGGAGAGAGCTGTGGTATCCAAACTCTATGTCCAAAACTTCAGAACAATAGTGATACACCGAAGGGTAAAAACAGGTTGGTGTAGTCTCCTTGCTTGTAACTGGGCAATGGAGGACCTTCTAAATACCAAGAAGCTGAATTTAGCCACTTATTTTCCATTATGTCTCTGTCCCAAAGGACAACAGTTACAATGTGATAATGAAGAACTTGAGCTACATCTAGGATCAGATCTACAAAGAGTCTTCTAACAGAAATCATAGACCTTTTTTAGATGCTTTTTAATATTAGAGACTGACCCCAAGTACAGTGATTGCATCTATGCTAACAAAGTAAACCAGGAACACACTGAGTCATCAGACTGCAATTGTTCATAAAATTAAAACATTAGAATGGCTCCTTGAACTCTTCCAAATATCCTCTGGGCATAGCCCACACCAGGATCCATTCTGAGGAAGCCACCCTGTTTAGGAGGCCAGAAAAGCATAAATATATGGATATTATCTAGTGGTGAAAATTTGTATGAGGCTATGAGAATGACCCCCTGTACACTTCATTAAGTTTCACTCTTTACTAGGTTACATGTAGTCATGTGATGAGTATTAGGTCCATCCAACTGAGTGTCAGGCTAGTATCAGGCAACTCAGCTGAGTGTCCTGATCATCTGACAGGCATTATGCCCTCCAGACCCCACATTAAGTTCTAAATTTCCAGCACAGTCAATGGAGAATGGTATGCTCATTTGGAGAAATCCTAAGAGAGAGATCCAGATGCTTTTCCTTTTTTTAATTAACTGTATCATAAAACAATTGAAAGTAAGTGATGTCTTTATCCATCCACGGTTTAGATGAGGGCATGCACTCAATGCAGCTTGTTTGGCTTCTTTTTTAAAAAGTACACTTAAAAAGTACACTAGGTGGAATATTCCTAGAATAATTTGCAAACTAGTCCAAAACAACAATATCACAAGAATAAGACCTTATTTTCAGGCCTCTCTCAGTGTTAAATAATGTTAACCCCCAGGTGCTGAGGCATCCTGAAAAGCAGAGGGAAAGGGAATACAGCAAGACCATCCATCCTTTCCAAAGAAGTTGGGCTACTAAGCCGGTGGGAGACCAGGCAAGACAGAGTCTGAGTTCTCATTGCAAGGTGCTGAACTGGAGTCCCAGGTCCTACCTATTGAATGTGTGTGTTGCCCAGGAAACCATCATGAAGAAAAAGTGGAGATGATGGAATTTGCCTCACTTGCCTGTCTGTTGTGTAGGCACTGACAGCTGAGTGAGTCTCAGAGCTCCTCCTACAGTCACCAGAGAGAAAGAGGAACTTTTATTATGCAAGTCCTTTGGACTGCTATAGACATCTACTTTAAGCTACCTGATACATGGTAAAACAATTTAATGAATGTTTCAATAAGAAATTTAAATAGCTGCTGCTAGAATGAATTCTCACTCTGGTTCGACTTCTGGGAGAGATCTGAGTTGAGGGGTCAGCAGTTCTTTTGACCCACAGTCTACAAGGAAGCAGGGTAAGGACACAAACGGAAACTAGGAGAGCAAAGGTAGCATTTTCCTTCACAAATCCTAGTGCTCCATTTGTCTTAAGAGTTGAGGGTCAAGAAGGCAAGGCCAGAATGGTCAGGACTTTTATTTGCAGATAAACAAATGCACACAAGCAAATGTACAAGTAATGCTGTATTTACACAAAGTCTTCAGACAAGTTCTACTGCTATTTCATCCTTTTCTTTATCCATAACCCTTGCTTCTAATGTAGATGAGCTAAATCAGGCTTAACACTGACAAACTGAGTACAATTCAGGAGATAAATCCCATTTTAAAATGACAATGCTAACACGGTTTTAGAGAGGAACTATTCTTCAAGAGATTTTGTATGTTTCTGGCTTTGAGAATTTGGGGCAGGTAGGCAAGAGGGGGATCAAGTTGCACCAGGAGAAATTTAGATTGGATATTAGGAAGCATTTCTGTCCTGAAAGGGTTCTCAGACATTGGAATGGGTTACCCAGGGCAGTGGTGGAGTCCTCATCCCTGGAGGGATTTGAGTCGTATAGACATAGTGTTGAGGGACATGGGTTAGTTGGGGACTTGTCAGTGTGAGGTTAATAATTGGACTTGATGACATTATAGGTCTTTTCCAGTTAATTCTGTGATTCTGCTTGCCTTTAGTTTCTTTAACAAAGCCTCTATCAAACATTTCTGTTATGAAAGAGATCACTCAGGATAAGGTGACAATGTTATGGGAATCAGCTTTATGGGAAGAATTATACCTGTCTAATTTAAGAATTTCTATTTTCCTTTCAGACAAATCTGTAAAGAATTCCAAGACCTCCTAAGTCAAGACAGATCACCCCTCGGATCCTCCAGACCGACTCCAATACTAGACCTCGACATCCAGAGACATTTAACACATTTCAGGTATGATTTTGAAAGAGGACTGCGAAGCAAAATTTATAATTTTGGTAAAGACTACATATGATGCTATAATGATATTTGTTCCCTTACCTAGAACACTATGATAAAGTCTATATTCCTTTTGTTATCTATGCCTGTTAAAAGCCCATGTTTGCCTAGCAATGTGGTTCAGGCTAGTAACATTAACCCTGCTTCTAAGATTACAGTCCAAGTTTGAACAAGTCATTTTCTACATCTGCTGGCCAAATCTCCCCATCATCTGGCCAAAGAGTTGCCTTGCTCTAAATGGGAGATAAATAACAAACCAGCCAAAAAAAATGAATGGTCTGGAAAGGTAGAAACTCAAGTTCAGAGCCAAAATAACAACACAGATGAATCGAAGTAGCAATAAAATAAGGAACACTCAGGCTGCATCCTTATCAATTAACTAAACAGTTCCAGTAGCCTCCATGCTACTGAGATCATTTGACATCATCTTACCATGAACATACTATTAACTTCTAGCCTCCAAAGCAGATTGGCCTTAAAGCAGATTACTCACTGGAGCAGTCTCACTGCACTAATTCCTCAACATCCTGGAAAGGTCTGGGTGAATGAAAGCTGACTCAGACTGAAAAGCCAGAGAATCCTAATATATTTAGACTCAGTTCCTGGTCCCATGCCCTAGCAATATTTAATTTAGTAACGGGGACAGCCTTACAAGCTGTTATGAAGGCAAGGACCCATGGTATATGCATGGCAAGTCCAAACTTCATTAGAATTTTATCCAAGTTATGGATAAAAGTGTATAGATGGCTTGGGATCAGAAAGATTTATTAGCCCAGGAGCTGCTGTGCAATTTCACATTTTTGCTTTAGGCTATGTGCTAGATACAATCAAGAGTGAGATGGGAACTTCCAGAGGGCCACTTTGAAATAGCGGGGTCATCGAAGATCTTTATCAAAGATAAGTGTGATGAAACATCCTAGAGGTGCTCCTGTCTTTTCTCAGGCCACAGAGGGGAATACATGCCTAGCTGAGGCTACAGATTTTTACTTTTTTCTGGCCATTAGCTAACACCTGAAAAAATCAACCTGTAAAGAACCATTCCAAAGAGTTTTTTACAAACCATAACACCAAACAGGTTTGTTAGGCCTATAAAGCCTTAGAATGACGTTGCCTATTCTTTAGCACAGTCATCTGAGACACTCTTCATTCATTAGCTGGATAGACAACTTTTGTGTCCCAACACCCCAATATCTTTTAGTTATTAAGGTTCTGATAGAGCATGAGGCACACAGCAGCCAGGTAGCGTGACATCTCTAAGTTCAGTCCCTCTGACTTTGAATGGAATCTGAAATACCCACCATCCCACCTCTTCCATCTATCTCTTGTGGGGAGGTGGGAGGCAAGGATAACACCTGATCCACAAATACACACATTCCTGTTTATGCTTGTACATACCTGTGTGCATCCTATGTCTACACAAACATACCTAGACAACCCCATTTCTGTTCTCATGCAGTGATGTGCACACACAAACACATCTCACCTACGTCTGTATATACTTTCCCTCACACACACACACTCCAAAATGCCTAATTGCACATGCACACCAAGGAAGACATACTTATTTATAAAGGAAACTCACAGAAGGGTTTTAATGGGATACCTAGGTTTGTGGGAAAATAGATAATTCCCCATTACATACACACAAAATAAATGTGATACAAGGTAGTTAAATCCCAAAGTTTCCTTTGTTTAAAGCAGTCAGAATAAAATGCTGGAGGCTTCAGCTACAAAAGCTGACAACTGGTACAGCTCCCATCATTCTTTTTCTGCTTCACTTCAGTAGGCTGATGTACAAAGCTTCTGTAGGCAGCTCCTGGATCATTCAGTGCTTTCTTTCATGCCTGCTGTAGGCAATAAGTGTTGGACTGAAACTGGGCACCTAGAAGAGCACAGGTCTTGATCCTACACAGATGCTTCCCTGGACTTAAATCAGACAGCCTTATTTGGTGCCTGTGCTTGAGGAATGATGACTACTGCCAGACCCAGAGGCTGAGCTGAGACCATATTCCTTTTCCATCTATTGTAGAGAAGTTGAGGTCAGATGCAGCTTCTGACCCAGACTTCTAACTCTACTCATTTATATATAGCTGCCTCCATTTTATAGAATCATAGAATGGTTTGGGTTGGAAGGGACCTTAAAGATCATCCAGTTCCAACCCCCCTGCCATCAGCAGGGACACCTTCCACTAGACCAGGTTGCTCAAAGCCTCATCCAGCCTGACCTTCAACACTTCCAGGGAGGGGGAATCCACAACTTCCTTGGGTAACCTGTTCCAGTGTCTGACCACCCTCACAGTGAAGAACTTCTTCCTAATATCTAATCTAAACCTGCCCTCTTTCAGGTTAAACCCATTTCCCCTTGTTTTGTCATTAACTGCCCTTATGAAAAGTCCTTCTCCAGCTTTCTTTTGGGCCCCCTTCAGGTGTTGGAAGGCTGCTATAAGATCTCCCCAGAGCCTTCTTTTTTCCAGGCTGAACAGCCCCAACTCTTGGGCTCCACTTGCTTGTGATGTTACTTGCTCAACCATAATAATTAAGATCAGGGTTCACAGCCTGGCATAGGTCGAAGCAGTTTCCTGTTTCTTCTGTTTTAAATCTTTGAACTCACACATGTCTCTGAAGTTTTTCCACTGAGTCCCAGTTCATCAAGATCTATAAACATGTGTCCAACCTGAAGTACAGGATAGTTTCCACCAAGGGATCAGAATTGCTGGGTTTGCTCAAATTCCAAACTCAAAGTTCATACAAAGCGTAAAACATGGGAAATCTTCAAAAGAGTTGCCAGTGAGCCTGAAAACTGCTGAGTTTTGCACAATTTCACCAGATACACAAAAAACAGAGGTTCTTCTACACCCCTGGTACAATCATGTTTGTGCAGCTGCTCTCTGAGACATCCCTCTGACCTGAATACACAAAACTCTGCTGCATGAGGAATGATTGTCCAATATTGTTTGACCATGAACACACAATTCTGTAGACCTTTACATTCATAGCAAAAACTACTGTCCACTACATGAGCCGGGGTAGTATTACATATGTTTTATTCAAGAATTCTCCCTTTTTAATTCATTTTGGAGTATCTTACTGCAGAGAAGTTATGTAGATATTAGTAAATAAAAATAGTGCTGGGGCATAGGCAGGTATTGGTTGTCTGTGCTGCTTTTTAGCAAGTTATCTGGATTTTTGTTGCCCTAACTACCACTGTCCCAAACTATTTCTGGGCACAGCACTGCATATCTACTACTAATATATATGTATATCTGAGAATTCAAGGAAGCATCAGCCCTTCTTACAGCACAGTTATGTGCCTTACCTGTGCTACAAAGAATGTGTTAAGATTTAGGGAAGTCCAGTCTTGTCAGGGTTGGATCAGAAGCCACTGACTTCATGTGGAGCAGCTCAGATTTCTAAGCGTATATGTGTGTGGGTTCAAGAAGAGGTGATACGTTGTAGGGCTACCCAAGCTGTCTTTCAGCTCTTCTTTGATTCCTTCATGATAAATGCAGAGGAGAAAGTGGAATAATATTGTGGGTTGTACCTGGCCTGATATCCACCATTTGAGCTACAATGCCCCCAGTTTCTGAAGACAGAAGCCACAGCGCAAGCAAGAAAACCCTAGAAAGATCCGTTTCTCTTACTAAATGCTGAGACTTTTTATCCAGATATGTGTCTCTTTATTTTCCTCTTAAAGGTTGATCTGTGTAAATTCATTGATGGGTCTACTACAGTAGACAACAAAGTCAGCACATCAGTACTAGAAAAAAAAACAAAAGTTTCTACAGCTTTAATGAGAGGAACATATTTGTCTCACCCTTTACTTTCAAAAAGAAGTGAGCATCAGAAAATATAGAGAAAGAGGAAGAAGGAAAGAAAGAAAGAAAGAAAGA